ATTGTAATAAACATATATAAAGCAAAATTATTGTTTGATATTTGACATCTCTTCTCTGCTACTATCTTTCCTATTTCGGGAGAAATTTTGTCAAATTTGAGTCGCATTGAATCTCAATCACTTCCATTTGCATATTACTGGGTACTGAGTCTATATTTATTGAGAAAATCGAAGAAAACAAACAAAATTTGTCTTCCAAGGAATTAAAATCTTTAAACCTTGTTTCAAATTCTGTTCTAAGATTTGAAATTTTTCTGCGTATTTTTGTTACGATGCAGTATCCCTGGAATGGCAGGTGCCGCAAGCCAAGTAGAATTTTACATTTTTGCGAGCACAATTAAATTAACTGTGCTACCGTAAAGTGCTCGACTTCGCGCGCAGGTCGTCGGGCTACCGAAGCGGGGGTGCCATCCCCTCCGCAGAGGATCAAAATTGCGATGGCATGTCTTCGCATCGTCCTCCGGGATGTTTCCCAGACTGTCGCCAATAGCCCATTGGTGCAGCTCTAGTGCGACGTAACAAGAACAACAACAACAGCATGTAGTATGTTTAAAATTGCATAAGTTTATATAAAAAATTATAATTTTATACATAAACTTAACTTTTTTAGTTGAAAATGTATGTAGCATGATATTGTAACTTAATAATGTTTTGCCCTATTTTTGCTTTCCTTGCAGATTTCTTTTATTTAGATTTATAAATTAAATCGTAGATACGAGTTTATAAGATAAAGGTGTATCAATTGCTATTTTAATTATGTCTAGGGTTTAAGTCCAACTGTACAAGTATCATAGTTTTCGGTGCAGATCTAAAGAGATTTTATTATGCTAAGAGAGCTTGAACTTCGTCTTGACGACCAGTGCTGATTTTTGTAGCATGATCTGCGGCAGAATAATTTCTAAGGCAACTGCCGGGCAGCGGCCCACAAGAAACTAAAAAAAAATATCACAGGAGTGGGTCGACTTGAGGGGTAAAATTCATAGCCACCTCAGATAAACCTCCACATGAGTTTCTTTCCCTGTAAATTTGAATTTGTTTTATTCGCGATCGCAACACTCGAATACGCCATCTGGGGAGAGACCGGTTTCATGCCTTTAGCCTTTCTCCCTTCCCTCTCCTCCTCTTTTCAGTTATATAGGAATGTACTACGATATTTTCCCTTTTCTTAATATTTTTCCTTTTTATTTAATNTGAGACCAGTAAAAGTTTCAAACAAAAACTTATTAAACAAAATGAAAAACAGAATATTCTAAATATTTTTTGTTGTTGTTGTTGTTGTTGTTAATTTACGTCGCACTAGAGCTGCACAATGGGCTATTGGCGACGGTCTGGGAAACATCCCCCATTATAAAGGACAAAGAGGTTCGTCATAACTGCATTTTCACACAAGAAATGCATAAATTTTTTAAGTCATATTTTTGCCCCAAATTATAAGGATTAGCCACAAAAAATATGATCCAAATAATGCAACTAGAAAAAGACCCGAGTTTTTTGTTTTAATTTTACTTTTTGCATTTTATTAAGGCATTGTTTCCGATATATTTTTTTTTCTTCTTCATTAAACTGAATTAAACCAATCTTGAGACCCTCTGACGAGCAATTTAGAAAAATAAGGGTTTTATTCAGAAAAACTACAAATAACACAACTGACAATACTATATGACAAGTGAGATATTATTTCCTATGCATTTTTTCGAGCTGAATCTAGTGATACTATATACACAAGAAACACAAGTCAATAAAACGAATAGTTCAAAACTTAAAGGGGTTTTTGTCTATGAAAAGTACTCCTTTTGACATATACTCAGTGGCTGATCCAGTGGGGGGAGGGGGGGGAATTGAGATCATGATCCCCCCCAAAGAAAATTGAAAAACATTTTTTTTTTAATAGTTTACAAAAGAGATAAAATATTTTAAAAATTATTTAAGGGGGCATATACACCTAGGTAGGTCGGAAAAATCGATTTTTTTTCTTCATCTAATTATGTTCATCACTGTTTTAAGATCACAATCCAAAAGATTAAAACGAAATTCGTCAAAGTTTCGTTGTAAATATTAATAATGTTGAAGCGCGCTTCAACNTTAATGTTCTTAGTAACTTGGGTACTTTTATTACGGAGTGAGACTTATAAAAATAAAGGCACTAAAAACTTCTGCATTCTGCTCAATTCTAAATTAAAAGTTCAATTTCTAAGGTATTCAGTTACATTTCAATTTATAAGCTAAATTAAATTGTAAAGTTTTCTAAAGTATACTTATTTTAAATATATTAAGATAGATATTGAGATATAAATATTGTCCATTGCTTTAGAATAGCAAAAANAAAAAAAAAAAAAAAAATAAAAAAAAAAAAAAAAAAAAAAAAAAAAAAAAGAGTCATATTAGAATTGCTGCAGAGTTATTCATATCTACATCATTCAATTATAATTTTTTCTTTTAAAAGAAATATTTCAATTAATTATTGAGGAAAAAGTTGCTTACATTTACAGTTCTGTTTAATTAAATTCTCATAAAATTATTCTCAAAATTGTAAAATGTTATTTATAATAGAGAGTATTTACAATTTAGAAATGTCTTCCTTAGTGCTGTCATCTGTCGCCGTATGTATTTAAAAGAACGAACTAATAAAGGCTCTAATGTTATGTGATTAAAAAAATATTTTATTTAAATTTAGTGATTATGCTTTCCTGTTTCGCAATATTGAATATAAAAAAGCAATCATTGAGAGTGTCACGTCAATTCGTCGCGCACAATTTGTCGTGGGACAATTCATTGCAAACAGAATTCGTCGCGGGCACAACTCGTCTCGAGTACAACTTGCCGCGGGCACATTTTCTTACTGTTTCGATACATCTATAAATACATCCATTTACGTAGTCAAAACTCTTCATTGCCTTACAAAAGCTAACTAATTATTTAATTTGTAGCCGTTTAAAAATTGCGAACGCTCCAGAGACGGGAGGGTTTTGTGATTCGTTTATTGTTATTTACTTACAAAGGGGACCTGGGTGAGGCACTGAATTAAAAAATGATTGTTGTGGCTAGTCCTTAGCGTCGAGCATAATAATTTCGTGATATTGGTTGTAAAATATTTTTTAACTAGCCCTTTCCTTGACTAAGCAAAATGTTTCTATTAGTCGTAACATGTTCGTAGCAAGAAATATAATATTCTACTCACCGCCTTGTTGTTGAAAATATTCTGGATTATCCAAATTTAATTTTTTTCCGCCTAATAATTTTCTCATTTTTCCTTCATCTAATTTTAGTATTGACAGCAGTATTTTTTTATATATAGAAGTTGTAAATTTAACTATCACATACGAAGATTGAAGACACAATAGACACATCCTTGAAATTAGGTCTTTTTAGGATAATGAGACCAGTAAAAGTTTCAAACAAAAACCTTTTTGAGCAAAAACTTTTTAAACAAAATGAAAAACAGAATATTCTTAATATTTTTTTTTATCTAAAAGGTAGATTTTAACGCATTACGGTGCTATCTAAATTTCAATTGGGTTAATTAAGCGCTGACAAATTACATGCGAGGAATTGATGCAGAAGAATCATGGAGAGTGAATAGGCGGAGTCTCCTAGTCTTTTTAAAAAAAATATTAAAGATTTCTTCCATGTACTATAAATAATACTCGCCGAGCCTAAAGTTCTAAAAAACTGGTAATAATAAATTTTAAATGTGTTCAAGTTTCCCATAAAACATAGAAGTTAAGTTTGTTAGTATGCATTTGAGGAAAATTCAACAGTTAACTGCAGAGAGAAATATTTGTTGCTTTTATAAACAATAGATGGCACCACTGAAAAATTATTATTTTGCCCCCTTAAATTCTTGCATAAATTTAAGGAATATTTTTTCGAGTGCATGAGTTCCCCCTTCTTTAAAGCATTTCTTCCGACCTTATATTTTTGTACAAAAGTGATACTTTAAAGTAGAAATTCAGTACATTGATTAATTAAAGCGAAAACGAGATGACTTCTCTATTCAAAAAATTTAAGTTTATTGAAAAAAAAAAAAAAAAAAATGAAAAATTAAATTTTTAAAAATTATTTTTATTATAATACAGTTATAATAAAAAATATCTCTAATGAAACTCGTAATGGAAGTTTAACATAATCTAGATATAGAAAATGAAATAAACATTGTATATTCTAAAAATACACGTATTCTAAATACATTTAGAATATTCTTCTCATACGTCCATTCTAAAAATTTTGATGAATCATCATACATTATATATCAAAAAGCATTGACCAAAATTTTATAAATATTTTATGTACCGAATTATTCAAATATATTTGTAGGAATAATTTTTAAGAGAATTATTAAAAATAATAAGATTTTACAGTAAAGCTTGAAGTTTTTCAGCTGGATAAGTACCTCAACCAAATTTCATACCTGCCTACTTTTAATTCTTTCGAGAATGATTTTCCCCAGTGGTAGTGGAATGGAATTTAAATTTTAAATTTAGGCAGAAACATACGCTATATTTTGAAAAAGCTTACGCGGACTGCCATAACAGTATTCCATATTAATATATATGCTTAATTTTTTTAAAACAGTGGTGGTCAAAAAGATTATAAATTAAGTTTATAAATGCAAGGAATATATAGAAAGCATACATTTTACTACCACTTTAAAGATAGAAATAAAATTTTACGCCAAATGTGTAAAAGTTGGCAGGTATGAAACTCACAATTTTGAAGATTAATGGCAATTGAGATTCAGATCTTGTTTTTGTAATTATTACTGTATACATTTTTAAATATTTTATTTAAAAAAAAAGTTTAATTCTAATATTTTAATATTTTTATTAATATTTTAGAATTTTTGTTGAAAAAATCTTCCAAAATGCAAATTTTTTTTTTTTTTTGCTGCCCTTTTAAAGGTTCCATTTTAGGAACGCAATAATATTTTGCAAAATAATTAAAACACATAATTAAAATGTTTATCTCGTTTTCAAAATATAACAAAGTAAATCAAGAATTACCTTCGGTAAGTGAGGGACTTTTATTTCTCTGGCTTATGATGCAATATGTGTTGGAGGCTTCAAGTTTCGTATCAATTTCCCTGGATTCAACTTGAAGAAGACGAATTCTAAAGTAACCACTTCTCTCCAGAAGATGAAAAGTCATAGCTAAGTCATTTATCTAAAAAAGTAAAAAAGTGGAAAAAGATAAGAAATTAAATTAGTTCTACAATTGCTTAGTAAAGAATTTTTTTTATTAACTTAAATTACGTTTGTTTATTATATTAAGATTGCTTGTTAAGGAATTTATTTAAATCGATGAGACAGAAAGCAAGTTATCTCCATTTAAAAAATAAAAATGAAAATTGAGATTTTTGAATTTTAGCTGAAGTAGATGTATAGTTAGGATATAAACATTTCCTGTCCTACTTGGTATAGTATATTTTGTGCATTGAAATCTCAATTTAGTTCGAAAATATGACATTTTCTGGAAATGACTTGTTCTCGAAATAAACTTGGAAAGGAAATATATCGCAAGATGACTGCCGCCGTTGCTTATGAAATTGTTTGCATAACTTAATTATTTAGCTTTAACTTGTTATTTTGTTGATGCTTTTAATCACACAATGAGTGATTCAGAGTAGTCTTTTAGATGGTATATGCAAGAAAATAAAGAAGCATAAAAGTAACTGTGAAGGAGGTGACTACAAATAATATACTTTATTTCAAAAGTTGGTGGTCTGAACATTAGAAGAAAAATGTGTTTTTCAAATGTTTATATGGAAAGTCAAAAAAGGCGAAAAAACTTTCAGGTGTCACATTATACCAATTTTACTTATGAAAGTTCTACACCTGGTAAGTCACAATATCTCCTTTCGTAGGGGGCTTATTCAAATTAATATTTTCTCTAAAGAAAAAGTACCCTGAAATTGTGACCATAGCTAGTTAAAGAGGCATATTCTGGAAAAGTTGTCATAAACCACAGGAGGAAAATTGCAGATAGTAAAAAAGTTTTTACAATTTAAACCGAGTTTTTGTATTTCTATGAAAATTTCAAAGATTGTCATAATCCAAAGACTTATGAATCCATACAAATATCCACGAGTATGTATTAGACTAAGACTTAAAACAATTGTTTTTTTCATTTTAAATTGGCAAATTATTAATATTTTCGCTTGCTAAAAATAGCGTACAATATTCGTTTGAAGGTTTTGTCCGAAAACCAGTCATCTCCAAGTTTTAATTACTTTTTAAATTAAAAAATTAAGAAATGTTGTCGCGCGATTGCAATAAAATATATAGTAACCAGCCATATTTTAATATCAAAAAATGAGAAAACGCTATATTTATCAAGCATTGAGCAATTTAACTATATAACTTATTATATATTAAGCATTTACACCGAAGAGCCATTACATTATGACCACCCTCCATCTATAACAATGGGCTCGCTCAGGTTTTCAAGGTTTCTCGCCCAGGAACAATGCTTTCATGGGGCACATTTGGACCCATAATCCTCATAGAACAATCCCTGACGTCTGTAAGCTACTTGAACATAGTTGCAGACCAGGTTCACCCATTCATGGCAACAGTTTTTCCTGCGGGGGATGGTGTTTACCAACAGGATAATGCACCATGTCATAAGGGTCGAATCGTCATGGATTGGTTCGAGGAACATTCCAGTGACTTTCAAGTCATGTCTTGGCCCCCAAATTCACCTGACCTTAATCCAATAGAGCATTTGTGGTCCTACTTGGAAAACCAAATTCGTGCTGCCACGCTACCCCCTCACAATGTGAGGGAATTGCAGGACCAATTAGTGAGCGCTTGGTACCAGATACCTCAGACTTCCTATCAGCACCTTGTGGAATCAATGCTACGGCGGGTGCTAGCAGTTTTGAGGGCTAAAGGTGGTCCTAAATGTTATTAGCAGGGTGGTCATAATGTAATGGCTCTTCGGTGTATCTTTTAATTATTCAGTTTTTTTTTTATCTCACCTGTAAAATTATTTTTGTTTGAGATGCCGGTTTTCAAACTCATTAATTCATTTATGAAGGGAATGGACGTTTATTAAGGGAAAACTGGAGGGTAAAGATCCTGATCTGATCTTTCGTCAATGTTATTCGTGGCGTCGTTTATCTATTTCAGACCGTTGTCATCCCCTCTATCTGAGCGTTCCAAACATTGACTTAGACTGAATCCTTAACATGGCATATCCCGTAAAACAAAGTGACGTAGGTTTCTCATCGAATTTTAATAACACAATAGTTCAACTATATGGAAAGGCTTGTTTGGATAATAAATAATCAATTTGATCCAGTGACATTATTACTTTTTAGTTTAAAGACAGTCAAATTTAAAAAATAAATAAATTAAAGATTGGTTATTAGTTTCAGTTTCGAAGGTTTGCTTCAACTTTTTCATACTAAACTGGGTCATAACTAATGCCAGTTTTGGTAATGGTTTTCTATCCATTAAAAAATAAAAATAAATAAAAAATTAAAAAAAACCTAAAGTGGCTATAAAAAAAGACCAAATTTAGGTTGAGAGATTGTCAAGTATGAAGTTACCTAATTTAGTTTAATATTAGATTGAGTCATGACCCATATCTGTTTATCCTTATTTCAAAACCCCTTCTTGACACCGCTGGGAATCCATTTTAGGCAGTGTCTAATATCCAATTTGGATATCGTAACATCCTATCTGAATACTACTTGAAAAATTAATACAATTAGGGTGCCTTTTAAAGCCTGTTTTAGGCCGAACTTCAATTTGTATACATTTAAATATCTTTTTTTGGCACACTTAGTATTTATGAATTTATTTTAAATGTTACTTACAGCTTCATTTACATATTGCTTTCATTAACAATAAAATTTTAAAATTAAAAGATATGAACGTTTAAAACTTATTAGTGTTAAAAAATATGACAAATAGCTCAAAACTTTCTATCCAATGATAAATAATTAAATAACTTTCTCAGTAATGCTTGGACTTTCATCATATTTAAAACTGGACAGGATCTTGATTTGAAACACAATTACAATAAAAATATTTCCCTGCCTTACAAAAATGCTTAAAATTTTTCTACCACATTACAGGGTAAAACTAATTGTGAACATTTTATTTTACTAATTAATTTAAATTTTTATTCAAAATAAAATTTCAAAAACAATTAACACAAATTACAATCAAAACCATCAACCTATTTGTAGAGAATTTAGTTATTTTTATTAGAATCTATTAGTTATTTTTATTAGAATCTGAGACTGAGGGAGGGGAGCCAGCAGGCCTTGACCTTCTAGTAGGTGTTGGGGAAGGGCACACCCAGCATTTATAAAAGTAATTCATTCAGGCATCAGAGATAAAAAGAAAAATGGTCCAATTTTTTTTCTTGTGGCACATTTAGGGATGAAGACTTTATTATAACAAATATGACAAACATACAAGGACAAAACATACAATGTCTCATTTAATTTTAATTGAAATTATATTTTTAGTTGCTTAATCAACCTAACTGCATCACATTTTTGCTAAGTCTTAACAAAAAACTTTTTTTTTTCAGCGACACTCTGTTTAATAACAAGCGGAAGGACAACTTTCTCCTGGAAATTCTATTTTAAAAATACAGTAAGTCAACATGATCAAAAATACAGTTTTCATTGCTTTATTAGTTGTAAACAGGGGGACGCTATCGACATAACAATGGAAACATGCACTCTTCTTTACTGCCAATCACTATCAATCTTATTGATTCAGTCGTTTGTGGTATTGCCTCCTCTATGGTAGTATTTTCCTATAAAAAGGATAGTTTCCTATAATTTTCAACTTTTATATAAATTTTCGAATTTCTTATGTTGAAATAACATTGTATTAAAATATCGGTACCAGTAATATCATGTGGGGTAGCAAAAAAAAAAAAAAAAAAAAACGATGGGCAATAACTTCGATTTACGGAGAAATTTGCCCTATATATATATCAAAAAATTATTACTTAAATGCGCAATTTGAAACTCGCGTGTCGTAATGACATCGTAGTTAGAAAACTGGATAGTCAAAATTACGTTGAAACGTATTGCAATAATTGCAAGAAAAGAAATAGTTAAAAAATTAATTTTACTTTAAGATGGAATCAGCCAGAAAAAAGAGCGTCACTAAGTAACTATTTGAATTCGTGATTTGAAATTCGCATCCCATAATCAAAATAACGAGAGAAAAAATAATAATAAAAAGTAATAAAATATCAAATCGAATTTCGAATCAAAATATCGAATTTTTAAAACCACGTGGGAATGTATAGCGATAACTGCTTAGTAACCCAAAATTTTATTGTTAACTATTAAAACTTTCGAAGTTCAGATTAATATTACTGGAACATATGTCAAATAACTTAAATAGTAATTTTTTAATTTTAGTTTAATTTAAAATGTCATTATTAAGGCGTCGGTCTGGCATCAATTTGGTTTACAAATATATTATTGAGTTCTTGGCAAACAAGATTCCTTTCGAAGATTTCCTAACAAGATCCCTTGGCCAAGATCGAATTATTTAATATTGGCTTCAATTTTCAAGATTGCGTCAAGCCCGTACACACGTAAACTCTTTTTACATGTATAGTGTACCTAAAAGATTTCAGAAGCGCTGATTCACACTTTGGAGGTATTCATGAGAAATAAAAAAATTTGTATTTAAGAAATCAGAAAACCCGAAAGCTATCAAAATTCAGCAAAGCATTACTGAGGAAGTTGAACTGAAATCATCAAACCCGATTGATTACAGAAGTAAATTAATTTAACTCACGCATGTAAGAAAATTTTCAAATTTAATTTTGACTTTCAATAAATAATTGTTATAATCTAGGGGAACACAACCTGAAACCTGCGGGTCACAAGAGGTCCGTTCGAATGGTATGCTGTATATTATTTCAATATTATTATTACTACGATATTAATACGACACGTGAGTATCAAAATGCTTATTTAAATATTCACTATTTGTGCCGATTTTAAAAGTGAATCCAAGTTACAAATTTTTTCGGGAGTTATCGCTATGCATTCTCACGTGGTCTGAAAAATTTCGCGATTCTTATTATGGTATGCGAATTTTAAATCGCGAATTTCAATAGGTACTTATTGACGCTCTTTATTCATGCTGATTGCATGATAAAGTAGAGTGATTTTT